CACCAGATGTCTGATGGCTTCGGAGACTGTGCTCACCTGGGCGTCGACTGATTTTTTTGAGGTCTGGAAATCCTTTAGGTCACCAACCGACCGGACATAGAGCATGTTGTCCAAGAGCGTCTTGTTTGCTGCTCCTTTTCTTCCACCATCCGCGCCAACTCCCTCTCTCTTTGCCTTCAAGTTGCGGACCAGGGCGGCACAGAACGCCACCATAGGACGGATCTGTGGATTGCAGTTCGCTTGAGTCCGAGGGAGATCGAATCGCAAAGGGATAATTCGTTTCGAGCCAAGTTCAGAAGTCACCGGTGGTGTATCAGTTTTGTGCAGAAATTCGGCTGCTTGGCAATTGTCATTTTCGGGCGCGTTTGTCGGCCCAATAAGCTGAAGAATAAGCTGATTCATCAAAAACGACTAATTCTCTTCATTTTTGGGGTTGAATTTGTCTCTCCCACATTTGTTCTTTGTTTTATATGATGCAGTCTAATTTTAGTCAATGGTGGTAACCACACCAAGCTGAAGATAACTATGCACTAAACTGCCCATACCAACTAGGCAGTCATGATTTGTTACACTGTGTCCTCTGCCACCTAATCAGTGATTCCAGATTATTTCATTCACTGTGTTTTATGGGCATGTAGGTATGTTTGGTCAGGCCTATCTACCTTGGGTAAATATTAAACATTGGATACCGTTCCGAATGGGCACTCATACGTACTCAATTTAAGCTCTCACCTTGGAGCCAAGATTCCCACCTTCCACCTGCACCAAAACTTGAATTTTTAAGGACAATTGGCAACCCTTTGTGCTTAGTGTTCATGTGCCTCTTCAAGTTTCTTCTTTCCCCATTAAAATCACAGTTCACGTGCCCACAGCGCACTTTCATACGTGATGGATGGTTACCTATGCCTGGCAACTGGACATACAGGCAAAGCTTCAACGCAGAAGGCCCGAGGCTATAAAGAGACAAACACAAATATCCCCAGCTAATCGAAAAGTGCGATATATGTTTGTTAAAACACCCAAAACTACGCGTAACCAGTATGCACGTAGTGAACGCTCCCGACACAACAGATCGCGACGCCGACTAAGCACCAACACGCGTCAGATATGTAACGCGGCGAATAGCGCTGAAAAAAGGACTGCTCAGGGAGACAGGCGGTAAAGGTTAAAATCGCTCCGAAACTTGCGCAAGACAGACCCTTATAGAAATTAGCCCTGTCTCGCCGGGTGATACCTTCTGGCCACTAGTGTCTGTCTCCTTACTGATAAGGAAACCAATGCTAAATTCAACGTCGTCGTGTAGGATGCTATTGTTGTCGTCTATAACTCCACAGCAAAATTGTTTTATCGTTGAAAAATGGAAAACTGGCTTAGCAAGAAAACAGTTGCAGTCTGTGCGGGTGGCTCCTGGGCAGTTTGATCCTCATATTTTCTGTCTCCCACCCTGGTAGTCAAGCGAGCAGGTTTTTTCACCTCCGAAACTCAGGGCTAAATGGCCCACAACATATACCAAATTCATCGACAGTCAAATTGTAGCAATGCAGTACCGACGTGCTCATTTAGTCTAATCCTTGAACACAACAATTTAAGGTCGACAATCCAGTTCACAAAATGACGTTTGTCGAACACCCAAGTGATACACATGCGTGAGGTGAGAACAACTGAGTGCTATCCAGTGAAGTTTTGCTTTATGGACTTACCATCCTCATGTAAAGCCACACCCATCCTCATGCAAAGCCGCACTTCATAGTATGCATTCACGGCCCTAAAAAGTGGTGGGGACGGAGCGGTGCATCACAAAATTGACACATGATTAACAAATTAATTTTTACCTACCTTCCAGCCATCCTTGCCAGCGATAAGGTTTCCTGCAGCGGCAGCTACCACTAGCCTCCAAATACTCAAGCAAAGCCGCTAGCAGGACTGCACAATAGCGTATGGCAAACTCAAAACGTTTTGCTCACCTTTTTCTACCCACCTTTACCCATCCTTTTACCCACCTTGCCCACCTACCTTATCCACTTAAAGCGTCTGTCGCAAACGCGCCATAATCGTATCAAGGGCAGGGAAATCATGAACGTCTTGGTTTTTCTTTTATCTGCGCCCCATGTCGGCACCTACAGAGTGTATGAACCGTAACACGCCAGCTCGCCTCCCACGCCACCGCCTCTTCGCCTCCCGTCACGACCACCGAGGCGTGTTGAACGGGAGCAAACAAGAAGGCTGGGTGCCAACGAACCGGCTGCCACTCGACTGCGCAACCGCGTCGCTGAAGACACAGCCCAGGCGCGCCGTCAGTAATTCATGCAATTTACAAACGCTTTGCTTCATTGGAGCAAAAGACACGAGTTGTCCGTTCGTCTAGAAACGACTTAGTAAAGTGATGTGATTCGTACATCAGTATTTGTGCTTGTGACAAGCATGATGTTGACCTGGGTTGACCCCATTGACCTATTATGAACTTGACGGGAGTTGACCTCGGTGACCCAATATGACCCTTGCATTACCAAGAAGTCGCCAGTGCTGTCGAAAACATTCCATTGCTGCAGATATGCCGGGGGCGCATCAACACCGATCCTCACGCGCGGACGCTGTTTGCGTTGTAGACTTTGTTAGCCTGTATGTGACTTCACAATTTATCGTTCGATTTTCTTTCTATTTGCTTTAAACGGTGCGCCAGGGTTTCATTTGCACGCGAAAAGCAAAACACGTACAGCATTCACTCCGGAGATATTCACTACAAACGGGATGGGTCGTATCCCCCCCTCCGCCCCTCTGCTGCCCGTGGTCAATGTGATGAGGATTAACCCCGATTATGTAATCAGATTGTCACAAGAAGGCATCCATCGCTGCCCGTTCCAACTTGTCAGCGAGCTGGAGCGATGCGTAAGAGGCGCGTTACATGTTAGCCAGATGTGCCTCGTGTGTTTGCCGTCGATGCGTATCAGAAACAAAGAATATGCTTTTATTTTCACTCCCTTTTGCTGGTCGCGTTGCCCATTGCTGTTGAGTTCATTTGGGCCCCGTTCTTGACACCTAGTGCGGTCCTAATGGAACGGTATGAGTCCCGAAATGTGTTGAGCAGATACAACTGCGATGTGCTGCTACATGGTCGCACTATCACTTCTGCGAAGGGCTGATCAATGTCCTGGAGACGTCTTGGCGTCAGCGTGGAAGCCGTCGCACAGAAGTCGCTAGCACATCGTCCGGAACTCGACAGAAAGAGGCATGGAAGTGGTACCGAGCTCGAGCCTACCGTTTTCGTTTTGGCCGTTAAGCTGAGCCTCAGAGCCGCTGTATCGTTATGGCATACGCTGAACGATGGCTTGGCCCGTTTTGGGCGCGTCTGCAGGTGGCTGGCCGAACGGTGTGTGGTACCTTAACTCGCCGCGCTGATTGGCCGAGCGATGTCTGACCCCGCAACTCGCTGCGCTGATTGACCGAGCGATGCGGGGCCCTCGTATCTCGCCGCACTGCTTGGCTGCACGGCGTAAGGCCCAGTAACTCGTCGGGCTGATTGGCCAACCGGTGTGGGGCCCGTCGCGGTGGTTGGCCGAGTGGTGTGAGGACCCCGTAACTCCTTGCGCTTAGGGACGAGGTGATTTGAGACCCCGCAACCCGCCGCGCTGATTGGCCGAACGGGGTGAGGCCCTGTTACTCGTCGCGAGGATTGACCGGGTGATGTGGGGATCCCGTAACTTGCCAGGCTGGTTTGGGGAGCGTCGTGTCGGCCGCTTGCCACCCTTTGCTGAATGCTCTCCCGTTGGAAATGGCCAGATTCCACGATCCCAGGAACCATTCAATATTACATGGTTGTGAGTGGATAACTTGGCTTCGCGGTGCTATGGCAGACAATAGTTTTACTGGCATGATCGGTCAGTGATGCTGGCTTCTCTTTGGCCGGCGTGATTTAAGTTAAACGGGATGCGTTCCCACCTCTGAAGAGGTCCAGTCACGTTTTACAAATAACTTTGAGGCAGCAATACAGCATTTGTCGACTTTTGTGCCTGCCAGTATTTCTGTACTCCGTTAGCTATCGTAAAAATGTATTGCACGTTGTCGTTGCCCCCCCATTTCCCCAACACTGTCGTTGCTTGCACCTGGCTTGCACCGCGCCCTCTGCGATGCATTGTCACTGATCGCAGCGGTGCATTCGTGTGACAGGTTGTTTGAAATTAAGCTTCTCAGTTCGGATGAGCAAATTTGCGACAAAAGTTTCGCGGGAGCTCTTACGAAAACTTGCTGTCGATATGGCATTGGTATTTGCAAGGGCCCTGGGTGTTGACCAATGATGACAAATGTCGCAGCCACCACCAAGCGGTGGTGTCGGTAGGACGCGTTCGTTTTGTTCCGGCGGGGCCAGTTGTTGGTTACCAGTTTGTTGCAGGGTCCCTACGCTGACGCTCAGGTCAGAGCTGAGTTGACTTGCCGAGGGAACCACCGGAGAATCGCCACTGCCGTTGTTCGCTGCTTGTGTGCAACAACTGGACGGATCAGTTAAAACTTTGCTTGCCAGCAGCAGGCATGGCGGGTCTGCTTTGCGAAATACGTTCCTTTCTGAAAAAGTTTCTTGCTGCAATATCTGTCTCCTCCCCCATTGACATCCGTTCGTCACGTGCAGGCATTGTGGTCGTCTATTGTTGCGTCTGCGCTGGGCCCGGTTTTTCACGATCGTCTGTACTTGGGGTACATTCGCTAAGCTTGCTTTTGTGTTTTCAGAGATCGGCGTTGCAGTAGGCAGGCAGGCGGTTGCCGCGTTCCTTGCGATACCAAGCCGTTTCTAATGTAACCCGCTGACTCAGAAGTGTTTGCCACCAGCTAGCCGCCACCACATGCGAGATGCGCCTCTTTGCAGAGCGGCCGTTGCGTTGCGTGGCGGGGCTCGGCGTTGCTTGCTCTGTTTCGGGCTGCCAGCCGCGGGGTGCTCGCTTGCGTTGCAGACTGCGTTTTCGGGGCTGGCGACTGACGGCCGGCGGCCGCTTTCTCTTTCTCGGCGGTAGGAGCGCACCATGGAGGATGAGATTCAGGCCGGCGAGGACGGCCTCTACTGCGTCGGCTTCAAAAACGTGTATGCGCTGACGCGCGATGAGATCTTGGAGGCGCTGTCGCAGTACGGCCGCACGCGCTCCGTGCGCGGCTCGTGCGACGGTCTCAAGCGCAGCTGGACGTTTGTGCGTTTCTCCAACCCGGAGGAGGCGGTGCGCGCCATCACGGGCCTTCGCTCCTCGCCGCACCTCTGTGACGTCAACTACGTGAAGTACGTGCAGGACCGGCTCCCGCCGGCCAGCCAGGCGGGCGTATCGCCGCTGGTGCGCGCCGAGCCGGTGCCGGAGCTCTCGCCGGTGCGGCCGCCGGCGCCGGCCGCGGCGCCGCCCACCGGCACCCGGCACGGCCACCACGAGGTTTTCATCGGCAACTGGCCGCACGACCTCGAGCGCGACGACGTGTTCCAGCTGTGCGCCAAGTACAACGTCGATGCGGTGGACGTGCGCCTCTACAAGAAGGAGTTGAAGTGGTGAGTGCAGCCGAGACTGCGGGCCAGGCGCGTCAGCCTGGGTCATCTGTGCCCGGCCGGCCCCGCCCCCGCGCGGAGCCACCGAGCACCGGAGCACTCGTGCCCTAGTGCAACTCGTGCCGGGTGTGATATGTCCGTGTGACACGCGAAACGGGTGGTGCGGCGTGCGTTGCCTGGACAGACTAATGCTGGTGACCTCAGCCCGCGGTGGCCGGTCGTGCCGACGCTGTAGCAGCTGGCAGACGGTTGTGCCGCATTGTGTCGGACGGCCGTGACCCGTGCTGACCCGATGGACCCTGTGCGGCGGCAGCTATGCGTTCGTGGTGGTCTCCAGCGCCGAGGACGTGCGCCGAGCCATCGAGCTGCTCGACGGCGGCAAGGTGGCCGGACGGCAGATCGTGGTCAAGGATTCACGCAACAGCCTCGGTAAGCGGCGGCCGGCCGGCGGGCCAGCGCCCCATCCACCTGCTGCTCCCTGGCGCGAACACTGCCGGCTCCGTCCGCCCGGCGTACCAGACGCGCCAGGCAGGCGGCATACCAGCCGGCCCCGGATCTCAGGCCTAGCTTCCTGTTGTTTTTTTCTCGAAGTTATTTCTTTGTTTTTATTTTCAGTCACGTGTTCACGATTGTCGCTGACGTAAGCGTTTACGCATGAATGAGCCGAGCGTATGTATTCCTGACTCACAGTTGATTTTGAATATGAACGCACGCAAGAAGCTCGTTTATGCTAGTATTCTTGAATGGTGTATTTTAACGCAGTAGGGTTGCTGGATGGTTTGGATACATGAACTGGACAAACGAAAACACCGAAATAACAAACGTCTTAAAAACTGCAAACTAGCTTCCGAGAAAGCTGCGATACTCCCTGACTCGCCCGCCACAAATCCGCCCTGAGCCAGCCTGTAGTGTTAGAGGCGCTAGGATGTCTGTCTATGCTATAGATTTTCCCTTGGATCGCGCAATTTTTCAAAAGAACTTAAGCAACATTTACTCATGTGGCTTGGCTTGATTCTGGAGGTGGAGTTGATATGCCCTGTACATTTATGCTCGGATACTTTTGCGCAACAGCCTCGGTAATAGCCAGGTAATAGCCTCGGTAATAGCCAACAGCCAAGCCCATACTTCTGTGTAGCTTCCATATCACACGTCAGTGTCCAATCAGTCAGGTGGATACACATGTCCAGGACGAACCCGTTGGACCGTATATGAGCCAGCCTGACCTGGAATTGTAGTCGCGTCTGTGAAAAGTCGGTAAGAACGCATCTAGGCTGTAACGAACGCCCTAATGTACCCACTGCAGGTGCACTGAGTCGTCTGTGGCACTGTTGGTTGCATAGTCGCACACGGGCAGGATGATAACGGACGTGCAGTTAGACGAAATTTCGAGAGGGTGTAACATTCGACCCAATACGTGATGTCATTGACAGCCCACGTGGCAGTAACTCGTCGGGAATCAGGGCGTTACGATACATGGGCATATTTTACTGGTGGAATCAGTCCAATGGGTTGACAGGTTCGTGGTTATCTGATTCGCCTAGCTGTCGTCTGGAACTGAGACGCTTATTCGCAATGTCCCCTCTTACAGGGTAGTTTGTTCTGTCTTGCAGCCGTTGATCGCGCGGGGGGAAACGATTGTATTCTGTTGGATCCCAAACCAGCCAAGCCAAGTTTAGGTCATTGCAGTCGTGGATTTGGAGTAAACACTGGTTCTGCACTGGTCCTGGTCAATAATTTAACAAAGGCTTGAATGTCCGCCTAAAATACTGTTTTTTTTTTGGCCAAAAAATAGCTCGCCAACCTTGAAGCGAGCTCGGTGATTGTGGTCGCCGCCCATTTGGCTGCCGCCGTGATACGTCATGCGCACGTGTCTCACCCCACTCAGGGGTCGCATCAGCCACCGGCCGGCCGGCCGACCTGGCGCCGGAACCGCCGCTCTAATCGCCCGTCTCCCGCCCGCAGCCAAGCAGGAGCCGGCAGCGCAGCCACAGGAGCAGAAGCCGGTGCCGCGCCCGGCGCCGACCGGCGTGCGCCAGCGGCTGGGCGGCGCCGGCTGGCGGGGCGGCCGTGGCGCCCGGCGCCGGCGGCCCGCCCTTCCCGCGACCCGCGCCCGCCGCCGCGGCCACAGCCCGCATCCCCGCCGCTGGTGATGCCCGGCCCTGAACCGATGCCGCCGCCGCCGTCGCTGGACGGCCGGTATGCGGCCGGCCGCGGCGCCGGTGGCTTCCTGCGCGGCGGCTTCCGCGGGCCGGCCGGCGGCCAGTTTCGTCCGGGGCCCGCGCTGTTCCAGGGCGCCGGCCGCACCAACGGCGCCGGCGGCGAGTTTGACGGCGCGGCCGGCCACTTCGACGGACCGCCACCCCATTTCGAGGGCGCTCAGCACCACCAGCTGGACGGGCCGGCCGGCCAGTTTGATGGCGCCGATGGCCGATTTGGGGGCGCCAGAGGTCCGTTCCAGGGTGCCGCCGGGCCGCGCGGTCGCCCGGTCGGTCCCGGCGCACGGCGCAGCTTCAGCCAGCGGTGAGCGGGCGCGAGGGAAGCGGTCGGCCATCGTCGCCGTCCGTTCCCGGTGTACAGATGACTGTTCCGCTGCGTGTCTGCCGCAGCCCGCTCGATGCGAGTAGCGAGCCCAGTGCCGGCCTGTGTCATCCCATGTGACACAGCATCAGAGCGGAGTTACCGCTGAAGTCACCTCATGCCCGCCACACACGTCTCCGAGCATCCCCAGCCGCCGCGACACTGGTGGGCCGCATGTCCCGCGCGTCGCGGCCGCCTCGCTGACGCCCGGCCGCCGACAGGGCTGAGCTGGAGGGCGACTTTGACGAGTCGTTCGTCAAGCGCGGCCGGTTCGACGACGGCGAGCGGGCCGAGTTCCTGGCGGGCGCGGAGACGGGGGCTGACCTGCTGTCGGGCCCGCCGCCGCTGGCCGGCCTCAGTCGTACGGTCGCTCTGGCGCCGATGGGGCGCGGCGCATGTGAGTCCCATTGTCCGCCTCGCGCCGCGCTGGGTTGCTGGTGGGTCCACAGCTCCCTCCAGCTCTTCGTGGTTCAAGTGGGATTAACACCACTGGCTATGTTTTTCTCTATGTTTATGTTGTGTGTTTTCTCGATATTCTCTCTAAGTCAACTTACTCAATGGTTTGTGTCATGTCATTAATGTTCGCTGTATGTGCTGCCTCTGGCTGTACGTACTTCCGAAGCTGTTTACGTTTTTGGTCACCAGGTCATGCCGCCGGTTGCAGTGCTGCGCTGACGTGCGTGTGCTTGGTGCGTGCGTGTCTCGATGGCCTGCGACAACTGGCGTGCGGCTGCGACCCCAGTCGTCGCCGCGTCGCCGCGTCGCCTCGGTGTGGTGACGTGTCGTGGTTGACCCCAGTCGTCGCCTCGGTGTGGTGACGTGTCGTCGCCTGGTGTGGTGACGTGTCGTGGTTGACCCCAGTCGTCGCCTCGGTGTGGTGACGTGTCGTGGTTGACCCCAGTCGTCGCCTCGGTGTGGTGACGTGTCGTGGTTGACCCCGGTCGTCGCCTCGGTGTGGTGACGTGTCGTGGTTGACCCCAGTCGTCACCTCGGTGTGATGACGTGTCGTGGTTGACCCCAGTCGTCGCCTCGGTGTGGTGACGTGTCGTGGTTGACCCCAGTCGTCGCCTCGGTGTGGTGACGTGTCGTGGTTGACCCCGGTCGTCGCCGCGGTGTGGTGACGTGTCGTGGTTGACCCCAGTCGTCGCCTTCAGCGTCGTGGTGTGGTGACGTGTCGTGATTGACCCCAGTCGTCGCCTCGGTGTGGTGACGTGCCGTGGTTGACCCCAGTCGTCGCCGCGTCGCCGCGTCGCCTCGGTGTGGTGACGTATCGTGGTTGACTGCGGCCAGTGACGCCGGCCGGCCGCACGACGGGCGCCATCTCGGACCGCATCAAGAGTCGCCTGCACGCGCCCATGGACGTGGTGGTGGCCAACTTCCCGGTGGGCACCAACGAGCACGACCTGTTTGCCATGTTCCGCAAGTTCGAGCCGCTGAACGTGCGCATCATGGTGAACAATTCGAGCCAGCATCCGGACGACTTGTGAGTGGTCGGCACAGAGCCGGAGTTCCGCGCCCGTCCACGGCGGCCGATCGAGCGGCCGCCTCTCCCCGGCCGCCTCTGCCCGGCCGCCGCCACGGCAGCCGCCGGGCTCAGGCGCGCAGTATGCAGTTGACGGGTACCGGTGTGGTAACTGAGCTTTTGAGCTCAATCGGATTATAAAGAGTCCACCAGAACGTTGTGAGGTGAAGAGCGCTGTCGATTTATTTCGCGCAGTCGTGCAAAACAGTTGGTTATATTTAAAGCAGTTCTTCGGTGTATTGACAGTAAAAGACAGGTGGCATTGCGGGAGCTTCTGGCTTCCTTTCCGTAAATAGAGAAAAAATTAGATATCGGAAGAGAACATTCTTTAGTTAAGAAGTTGACCGTTTCCGGCCTTTTTGTGGGCCGTCCAGTATCAAAGAGCCCTTTGTCAACCCAGTGCCCTTCCCTCGCCAAGGCTGCGGCTACGCGCCTGTGCTGGACTCTGTGCTTGCCCGCCCTGAAGTGTGTGTTGCTCAGGATGCGAACTATCACGTACTGCAACGAAGCCTTGTCAGGCATAGTCAGGGGCAATGCCGAGCATGGGCTGCGAGCCGTGTCCAACGTCCCCTGTTCGTCCCATGTGTGGGGTCTCGTCGGCCGGCCACTGGTGCCCTGCCCACCCTTGACACCCTTGCCGTCTGTGTCCGCAGCACGTACGCCTACGTGACAGTGTCCAGCCGGATGGCGGCCGACGAGGCCGTCATGGAGATGGACGGCTTGACCTTCCAGGGTCGCCCGCTGGTGGTGGAGACCAGGAAGAACTAGCGGCCGCCGCGTCGCACCACAGCGGTCGCCGCGCCGCTCCCCATGGCAGCAGCGCCGTGGCCTCATCCCATGGCAGCGGCGCGCTCGCAGCCCGGCCGCCGTCGCTGCCGGATCCATCTCATTTATCTGACAAAGTGCCGGCCAGCCGGCGTCTGCCGCGATTTTCTGTTGTACGCACAGCTGGCCCACTGTCGCAGGAAGGTGGAGCGCGGGAGGAGCGCATTTTGGTCAGCTGTGCCCCGCTCTCAAACTTGGGACTGAATACACGGCATTGGCGTACGAGGTCCGTTGTTTCGCTGGAAGTCGGTTGCGGAGGGTCGGTCGGCGTGCATGACAGCGATCACGGCGTGCAATGACACTAAAGACCGAGCACGCAACGTGAAATCCTGCCGATACTGCCGAAAGCATACTGCATGGTGTGAAATCAATGCAGTACCAAAACAACTTTGCCAGAAATTACCTCTAGTTGGAGGCTGGTCAAGATATGTCGAAGGCTAGTCGGGACTTGTTTATCAGATAGATTTCACGTGTTCGCATCAGGGGTGACAAAACTGTCATGGTTAGCCGTTACGCAGCCTCAGTTTTTGTGGTGGTGTGGTCCCCACGCTATGCTTTCATGTCTGCAAGCAGATGACTTAGTGAAATTGAGCGTGCTGGCCGGCTACAGATCAGTAGACCGAGGCTTCGTCCCGCTCCGATGGACTTCGCACCAGTCTAGTTCACAGCACGTTGGGCTTATTTGTACTCTTGAGTTCGTACGCGGCGCTGTGCTGAAGCGACGCCTTACCCCTGATATGATGCGATGCAATACAACACAATATAGAAACGATGCTGAGGTGCTGAAGGCATCGAGCTAAACGTGATGAAGCCAAAGCTCCTCACTGGCCACGGATCTCGCACAGAAGCAGTCTTGCAGGGTGTCAATTGGTCTCACGTGCGCCACACATGGCCTGTTGTGCGGTGGAAACAGACCTCACCGTCACGGTTGTGACGCGCCGTTGTGTGCCGCGTTGTTCACGCAGGATCGGAGTTCACCGAAAGTAGCGGTTTCCTCATTTTGGACGAGATACCTCATTTCTTGAAAATTCTGATATCATTGGCGGCGATTCTTGCGTACCAGGGGTCAGCTGGTGGTATTGCTGGTAGACATCGTATTTAACTATAACCATATTTATCAATTACTCACACACCGCGCTGGTTATTCGACACTGCGCGCTCATATTTTCACCAATTAGTTAGATTTTGCGCGCTTTAAGAAAAGAGAAAAAGTTGTCGCACTTAAAAGCCCGAAGCACTACCACAAATGCACACAGCGCGGCAAATAGCACTTATGAAACGCTCAGGTATCTGATGTGTTGAAGACAGGTGAAAGCGTTCAGACTGGAGTGAACCGCTTACGGTTCATCACGTCATCCAGTCATGCCGCCACCTCGGTGACGAGCGGCCGCATCATTTCGGGCAGCACGCCCCGCCACTGAGGTGCCGTGTTGAGGGATTTTCGGGCGTGACAACACGGACACATTTTTCGCACTCCTCAAGCCAATAGGAGCCTAGGAGCCAAGGAGCCCTAGGAGCCTCAAGCCAACAGGTAGATCTGCATATGTATATATATATATATATATATATATATATATATATATATATACATGTATATATATGCATTTACTTATTCATTTATATAATAAATACGGAAACCCATTTTACCGTGCACAGCCTTGTAAAGCTACGCGTGCTACGCATGCATACACCTAAAACTCACTCATTTCAACACGCCACGTCAAGTGCTGTGATTTTGACGCTAAGTGTTTCGAAACAACAGACAAAATAGACTTGAGTTGACTGCTAACAAGCACCAAAACGAAGTATGGGCTTAATTCCTAATTTATGTATTTACGGCCAGCCGGCTGTGCGATGTAATCAGCTGATGGCTGATGACTAATGCATAATTTTCCTTTGTTATAAAGGAGTACAACATATCCTAGCACTTAAAATATGTTAAGAACGTGATGCACTAGTATAGTAAGTGTAACACAATCAATAGCCAATGGAAATGATACATACGACGTCGGCGGCACGTCAAATTACGTTCGGCAACTGCGCGCAAAAACTCATCGGCGCATATCCGACTGCTGCTCTAAGGCGAGGGCACCAGGGCTAATACGGACGGAATCTGAGCGATCATGGGTGCCGCAGGAGGCTAACAAAGTGGCTCTCGTCAACAAGTATAGGGTCCTCAGAGCAAGTGAAAGAGTCCCAAGATCAACGTGGTGGCCCCTAAACAATGGTTAGTGCCTTG